CATTCTCCTTCGTTGAGCGACCGCCGGCATTCAAGTTGTGATCTGACAGCTGCATAAATGAGTTGGCTCTCTGGAGCCCTCCTTCCTGTTTGTGGTTGTTCAGTCGCACAGTCCAGTCCGACTCTTCGCGACCCCATGGACCAGATCCCGCCAGGCCCTCCTGTCCTCCACCGTCCTCTGAAGTTGGCTCAATTTCATGTTCGTTGCATCGATGACACTGTCTAACCATCTCATCCTTTGCCGTCCCCGTCTTCTTTGACCTTCAATCTTTCCCAGCATCAGGGTCTTCTCCAGTGAGTGCTCCCTTCTCATTGGGTGGCCAAAGTATTTGAGCTTCAGTTTCATTATCTGGCCTTCCAGGGAACAGTCAGGGTTGATTTCTTTCAGGATTGACTGATTTGATCTCCTTGCAGTCCAAGGGACTCTCAAGAGTCTTCTCCAGCACCATAGTTCAAAAGAATCTATTCTCCGGTGCTTGGCCTTCCTTATAGTCCAACTCTCGCAGCCTCCTTCCTGAGGGAAGACAAAAATGGGTGAGCCGGAGGCTAAAGAACTGCGAGCTGGCTCACACCGACTCTGCTTAGAGGGAACACTGCTCTGGAGCCCTCCTTCCTGAGCGAGGGCAAAAATGTTTGAGCCAGAGGCTAACAAATTGTGAGCTAGCTCACACTAACTCAGCTTAGAGGGAACACCGGCTCTGGAGCAGCAGCAGAACCAAGTTGGAGGCCAGTGCAGCACCTGGAAGACCAGTAAGGTGTTATTCGGGGCATCCGCTTTCCTGTGCGTCAGCCCCCCCCCCCATTTCACTCATTAGTAGCCTTGAACTGGTTATTTAGTTCTATGTTCAGTTTGTCAATTATTGCAGAAGGCTTTTATAACTGCGATTTGGGTATTGGGAGTCTCATTTTGGCATAACTTTGATAACTTAATCTTGTAAGAAAATGGACAGGCTCCGAACTAGAACCCAGCCCTTGCTAAATGTCAAGCACAGAACTGCATGAAAGACTAAGAGTAACCCAGGTTGGGGGAGTAAGGTTGCTTGATCCAGGTTGGGAAACTTCTGTCGATTGGGGCTGGAGCCTGGGGGAGACGGGTGTAATGCCATAGCGTTCACCCTCAAAACATTTTCTCCAGAGGAACTGATCTCTGCTTTCGTGTGCGTGCACGCAAACCCAGAATAAGAGACGACCCTCAAAAGGGTTGGGCAGATGCTTCAGAGCTTCTCGTACGCATGCTCCCGGACGAGCGGCACATGCGCACTCTTCCGCAGGGAAAGCCTCGCGCGGTAGTCTCGAGATGAGCTGTAATTCTGAGGGGTCCCCAGGTCCCACCCGGAGGATAGCATTCCTAGCCCAGCTATATGTCTATGGATGTCGAGGAAAATGCAAAGTCTAATACTGGGCACACAGTTCTGGATCAGTAGAACCCCCAGGGTTTGTTTTTGACCCTTCTGATTATGAAGCTGTGGTTAGAAGAAGAAAAGATTGGATTTATACCCTGCCCTTCACTACCCGTCTGATGCTTTTTTGCAGTTTTCTAAATTTTGTAATCCTAGTTCCTTTGCATTGCTTATTAGCTCTCTTATGCTGTTTGATTACATTTATACTGTGCAGTCCACCTTGAGTCTCAAGTTGAAATTGGTCAATAATGAAGTATAAAGAAAGAAAGAATAAAAGAAGTAATGGTAGGCTGACCACCACTGTACTCATCTCTCCCCACCCACCCCCAGTTTTATGGCTTGGGGCCTGGCTCTTCTGCTGCTCTCTCCAGCAGGTGAATTGAATCTCCAGCCTGTGTCACTTGAATGGCCTGCTGACCGCCACTGTACTCATTTGGCTCCCCCAATAAAAATTTTCTGGTTGTGGGCCCGAGTCTAAATACTTGAATGACGAGCTAACATTTGTTGGATCCCCAAGCATCGATATGTCTATGGATGTCGAGGAAAATCGGGGATCCAACAATTTGTTAGAACTGGGGATACACAGTTAGGGCAAGCATAATAAAGGGACTTCAAATAGATACAGGTCCAATGAATAGCTTTCCCGCTGGCGGGCTAAAGAAACAGTTGCGCGCCCAGTCTATGGGAACCAGGCAGAGCATTAGTCAAAACACAGGTGCAGTACTCATGGGAAAAGCACTAGCCAAGCATTACAGCATCTTCTCCCCCACACAACCTCCAGCAGTTATCTTTTGCATTCCAACGCAGGAGCAGGATGATAGAAACTAAGCCGGGTGCAACAGAGAAGGATATGTACACAGAGGTCACAGAAAACAGAATGGCAGCTTGCTGACAACGTTCCATTAAATCTTACTGATCTTCTGCTGTGACCCTCATGTTGTGGCGCAATGGACAAAGTTAATAGTTAAGAGGTAGAGGCACAAATACAGTTGAGTCAGTCTGAACTATGGCTTGGTAAACAGACAGCAGTTTGCCTTCCCTTCAGCGATGGGAGCCTGCTGTTCCCTCCGTGTGACTTCATGGGGGGTAAATGCTTCCCCATCTCTTTTTCCTTCTCCAGCTGGCATTTAAACATGTCTCCCCCTCTCTTTTCCAGATGGCATTTAAACATGTCTCCCCCTCCCTTCTCCTGCTGACCCACAGCCGCAGACCACCTGGGGAAGGCAAGAGAGCTGGGGGAGGCATTTTAAACATGCCTCCCCGTCGTCTCCAGCTGGAGAAGGGAGGAAAGATTGGGGGGTGGAGAAAGGAGGAAAGGTTGGGGAGATATGTTTAAATGCCTCCGTTTCCTCCTCAGCTAGCTTGCCCCGGAATTGCTGTATAGCAGCCGAATATATTTGGCTTTTGTAATGCGATATCTATTCGGGGAGGTATCTATTCAGGAAGCTGAATCTGATTTGGCTTCTGAGGAGCCCAAATAATGCTGTGTAGGCATTATATGGTTTTTTCCCGGCTCGGCTGAGCCGAATGCACATCCTTAATGATCATATGTGTTCTATACCTGTGAAGTTATGTACCAGCAAACAAAGTGAAGCATTTTATACAATTAGTGGCCTTATGCACTGCTTTGAGATTACTCAGCTCTCCCATTTATAAATGTCACATGCCGTTTGTGAGCTGGTCTCATTCTCTGTTCTCTGTGGCCAAGCAAGGTGACTTGAAGAGTTGGGCAGAAACTCCTGTCTAAGGCAGGTCTAAGGAAAATGCTTGCGGGTTATGACTGAGCAAGAGGTATAACATCTATGATTCCTTATTGTCACTTTGCAGATTCCTTCTTTTTTCCTTGCTACATTATGCTTTTTTGGTTAACTAATTATGAATTAGCATTTAGACTTCATAATTTGGCTTTCCCCTCACCTGATGGTGCCTGTGGGTGCCCTGGTGCCTGCTGACACTTTTTTTATTTCCGATATAAAGTGGTTTGTATTTGTACAATTATGTATTTGTACAATGGTGTCAAGGAAACATATTCTTTGCGTGAATTGGTTTATGGTCAGGTTGATGGTGGAGTGGAAGTTGCTGAAGGCCTGGTGAAATTTCTCCAGTGCTTCTGTCACCTGTGTCTAAATGATGAAAATGTCATCAGTAAATCTCAGGTGCAATAGGGATATTAACAGATGGGAGCTTTTTGAGGTGAGTGAATAGCTTATTTACTAGACTAAGGTATGTTCTAGTGAACACAAATGTCTGGATTCTAGCTGTTACGAGAACTGATGCCTCAGCTGTGGGATAATTTTAAAACAATTTGTTTATTTACTTTATTTATATCCCGCTTTTCTCCCCAGTGGGGACCCAAAGCAGCTTACATTGTTCTCCTCTCCTCTGTTTTAACCTCACAACAACCCTGTAGGCTACGCTGGGAGTGTGTGACTGACCCATGGTCACCCAGCAAGCCTCCATGGCTGAGTGGGGATCCCAACCTGGGTTTCCCAGATCCTAGTCCGACACTTTAACCGCTACCCCATGCTGGCTCTCAAATAAGAAAAAATGTGGCAGGGACTGCTAACATTCATCTGCAAGTCTCTGGTAATCCCCCCCCCCAAAAAACCCCTGATTTACTGGGAAAGTCCCTTTATTCTTAACTGTGACTTTGTTTTCTCCTCAGGCCAGTCCAGGCTCTTTTAGAATAGAATATGATACCTTTGGAGAACTGAAAGTTCCAAATGACAAATACTATGGTGCCCAAACGGTGAGATCCACAATGAACTTTAAGATTGGCGGTGCGACTGAACGGATGCCGGTAAGTAACTGACACTTAAAGGGATTGGGCCTGGGGCAGAGAGGCCAGGTGTTCCAGATGATGTTTTCCCCTCTTTCTCACTGTTTCCCTGAAATGAATTTTAGGAGTGTTCCTATATTCATTTGGACCTAGGTTAAGAGCAGCCTTGGGTAACAATGAAATTTCCTGCTGCTCACGCAAGAACTTTTAAGAGTCAGCATGCTAGACACACCCTGACCTGGATGGCCCGGGCTAGTCCAATCTTATCAGATCTCGGAAGCGAAGCAGGGTCAAGTCCTGGCTAGTATTTGGATGGGAGACCTCCAAGGAATACCGGGGTGTCACATGGAGGCAGGCCATGGCAAACCAACTCTGAACATCTCTTGCCTTGAAAACCCTTCGGGGTCTCCATAAGTCAGCTGTGGCTTGATGGCGCTTACCACCACCACCACCACATCCTGGACGCAGGCTCCCTATCTTCATTTCACTCTCTGCACTGTTCTGCATTTACCCGTGGTTGTTTTTAACCCTGGTTAAAAGGAACTTAACCCTATTACATTTTACCTCCTAATGTTTTTGGATTAACTCTGGAGTCCGACAGGGCTTTAAAAACAAACAAAATATTTATTATGTTTTCATGAATCAAAGCATCAGATGCATAGGAGTGTAAATCCATCAGGCCGGTTTATATAGATAACAGAAAACAGGACTGGGGGTGTTGGTGCAAAACAAGGCCCAATCTTTGTCTTCTGCCTCTGTAATGGCGTGCGGTTGGCTTGCTGCCCCCAGGCAAGCATTGAAGGCTGCCCGGAGTGCTTTTGCCCAGAGGGAGCGGAGTGCTGCTTCTGTTAGCCACCACTTCATGCTTGCTTTGTGTAGGAGGGCGTAGTGAGGAGAATCCCCTCCTACATGTACTTTTGCAAAGAGTTCCAGACCCTGGCGGCAGCTTTGTGACTGCAGGAAAGCACAAATTTGATTCTTCCTGTGTCTGCGAGACAGCTAATTGAGTTGAACTTCTCAGGAAGTCAGGATTTTACTTGCATTTTTAACCCTTTGAGCTACCCCTTCTTTTTGTTAGAGTAATGCTGAGTCATATGACTACATTTGTAACGTGATTGAGACTATTCTGTAATAGTTTAGTGTGAAATTGCTTGCACGCTTTAGATGTTTTTAGTTAGACTTTAGCCTGTGGAAGTGGATGTGTCAGTGGGAGGTAAGCTGGTGATGGGCACGGGATAGGGTTATCACTTTCTTCATTTGGCTGGCTGAAGGTCCATTGAGCTGGTGCTTCCTGTATTTGAGGTGTATATAAAAGTTCTCTCTTCTCAAGATTGCTCTTTTGAATTGTAGGTCCAAGTAATAAGAGCGTTTGGCATCCTAAAACGAGCAGCAGCCGAAGTAAATCAGGATTATGGTCTTGATCCAAAGATTGCCAATGCCATTATGAAGGCAGCAGATGAGGTATGGGTGTGTGCGTGTGTAGGTGTGGGTGTGTGGGGAGCACCTGATCTGACGCTCTCGCATAGAAATGTCATTGGGAAGTCTAGTTTGAGTTGCTTGTTTGAGGTAGATGGATTCTTTTCAATATCACAAGATATTTTATTTATTTATGCTCTTTATAGTCGGCCTTTTTCACTGGTTCTAAAGGCAGCTTACACAGAGTAAGTCAATAGGATGGGATACCCAGCAAACAGTGGAACATGGTTTGGAGTGGAGAAATCTGGAACCCACCAGAAATATGAAGCAGAGCTGAAATGAAGCACAAGTATTAACAGGACAAGTCATTTGATGCAAAAATCAGAGTGCAGTTGTGCTTCCTGCAACAGACAGAACGGACTGTACGCTGAAGTGTTCGGCATGTCCTGTATCAGTAACGTAGGAAGGAGGATAATGGGCCTTTGACTGATGCTGCTCTGGGATTTCCAGTGGACACAAGAAAAGATACTGTAGGTTATTTATCCATACAATCACAGTCAGCAATGCTGTTATCCTAGTCAGTGCTCTGTAAGCTCCACATTTCTTCTGCAAAGTCCTGTTGGGGAAGAATTTATGCAACACAAAGAAGATTGAAATGGTTAGAACTTGTTTTGACTAATACTTTCCTTTGACAAGCATTTGTCTGATAACAGGAAAGCAACTGAATCTGTAAATATGGGTGCTTTCACATATACTGAATAATCTACTGATAATTCACTTTCAGTGCACTTACACTCCCCAGCCTGTCTAGTCTTGCGTCTTTTCAAAATAAGTATGATGGCAAACACTTACATTATTTCAGTGCAACCCTTATATTATTCCAATGAGGTAGAACCAAATTGGGGGAGTTTGTCACAGAATGAAGGTAGCCAGCGTATTCTGTAATTAATTGTGGTAGGGATTTAAGTGTAATTGCACTTCTAGTGCAATTAAAGCCTGTGAAATCTGGCGTGATCTTTACCATCACAGTGACGTTAGCTCAGTAATGTATTGATTGTAACATAAAAACAAATAAGTAAGAATAATGTATATGCATATGTGTTTTGTAGGTATCGGAAGGTAAATTAAATGATCATTTTCCTTTGGTGGTGTGGCAGACCGGATCTGGAACTCAGACCAACATGAATGTCAATGAAGTCATCAGCAACAGAGCCATTGAGATGCTGGGAGGCAAACTGGGAAGCAAGGATCCGGTGCATCCAAACGATCATGTTAATAAAAGCCAGGTCACTATGCAGTTTTCAAGACGTTCTTGCTGTGTGTTTCCATCAGATGTGGGTTCTAAGAGTTCAGAATAGTTCTCAGATTGGTTTCATTTGGCAGGCATTCAATACACAAGGTGTTTCACACACAAAAAATCCTTCATTTTTGATATGAACAAATGAATCAGCAATGTTCTATAAGGAGAAAGGGGCAAGAAAAGAATGCTGAGGTTTAAAAGGCAGCTGGTAGGGAAGTGAGAATAGCAGACCACTGGGTAAGCAGAGCTAGGGGGAAAATGACAAAGGGAGAGCTGTGGGTTCAGATTAAGAAAGAAGGTCAGACCAAAGTAAAAGTAGATAAAGGGAAGTTGTGAACACAAAGAAGGCTGGAAACACATGGGGAACGATAGGGAAGAAACCACAGCATGATAGGGAGTTCCAGGTTAGGAACACCCAGCTCCCAGGCCACCAAACTGTTGATACAACAATTTTTTTGGCCCTTCCAACAGTTGGGAACCTGTCCCCAGGCTGGGCACCGAGCAGCATGAACCGTTAAAAAAAAAAAAAAAAGATTAAAGAAATCACTAAGTGACCATTATCTCCTTAGCACTGTATACTGAGCAATGAACAACACTAAAATACATATCATGTTAAAACAATTCCAGCCATTTAAAAAACAAATTAAAAACCAATCACAAATGAAATTAAGCATCTTGGGGCGATCACAGAAAGGAATAGCAGTGGCTGAGTGAGCTGGAGGCTTGGGGAAGGGGACATCAATTAAACACTTCAGGTTTTGACACACCAGGGTGAAGGTGACATATAATCGTCTGCTCCTTGTCTCCAGTCTAGCTTTGAAATTTTATGCCAAGGGGGTGTGCGTACACGGAGCTGTTGTCAGATCCCTATCATTGGGAGGAGTGGTGGGGTGGGGATCCAGTAGGTTCATGGGACTGCTTTTGAAGACCACCTCGGAGCTTTCAAAATGCAGCAGCTGTACAAACTGCTGGGAACGTACCTCACCTGTCTTGGACTACTCTTGCTGCCAACTCATTTCCAAAACCATTTCACAGTGGTGGCTGTCATCTTTAAAGTCTTGAATGGTTTTATGGCCAGGGTACTGAAGGGACCACCTGCCTCCATCTGAGCCTGTCCGCCATTTATGATGTTTGGCGGAGGCCTTTCTTTGCCCTCCTGTGGCAGTCCTCTCCCAGCCCTGGTCAGATGTAGAGCCTGGACTTTCTGGTTTTAGGGTCCAGGTGAGAACTTGACTGCTGAGCCTCTCCATTGAAGAGATGTCCTTCTTTTGAATGTTTAACTTTGGTTAGTGATTTGTTTTTATTTGATTTGATTTGTTCAACTGATATCCTGCCTATCCTGCAGGCAGGCTCAGGGCTATCTTGTAAGGTATTATATTTTGACAGCTATATTGTAAGGTGTTGCGAGTTTTATGGGACTTTAATTCTTGCTTTATTTGCATGAGCTGCCTTGGAAACTTTGGCTGAAAGACAGCTGGATATCAGTATTTCAAATAATCATTTCTGTTGTTGTGAATGGCCCCTCCTTTTTGTTTGTGACATTTTATGCCAAGCTCAGATTGATGTGATTTGGTCCCTCCATCTTGCGTGGACTCTCTCTTGCATGTTATGGCACTTTAGCCCTATTCTTTACCATTTGTACATACGTAAGACTGAAAAAATCTGCCAGTTGAGGCTAATGACATCATGCATCGGGTAAAGAGGGCTGTAGTATCATAAACCGTCTACTACAATATACTTACTACTATTTAAGATTTTCTGTATAACCAGTTTTATTTTTGATTTTACTCAGAGCTCAAATGACACGTTTCCAACGGCCATGCATATTGCTGCTGCCCAGGAAGTCCATGAAGTGTTGTTACCAGGGCTGCAGAAGCTTCATGATGCCCTTGATGCCAAGGCCAAAGAATTTTCCAAAATTATTAAAATTGGACGTACTCATACTCAAGATGCTGTTCCTCTGACCCTTGGGCAGGTACTGACTCACTGAACATTGTACCTTGGATGAACCTGTTATCAACTTGTCAAGATTTGCAATTCTTATTCTTAAGGCACAGGACTCAGGGGAGGGGTTGGGGCTCAGTGGCAGAGCCTCTGCTCTGTGTGCAGAAGGTCCCTGGTTCAATCCCCAGTATCTCCAGTTAAAGGCCCCCCCCCCCCCCCCCCCCAATCACAGAGCTTATTTAAAAAGGAAAATTGGAATTGCACTCTGGCCTATCATTGTCATTTATGCCTGTAGTGTGTGGTGCTCTGAAACACCTGTGCATTGCTTGGGTGCACCTGCTTAGTCACACTCCATGACATTTGCAAGCCTGCATAAAAGGGGAGAAAAATCCTCAGAACTGGGAATTGGACAGCAGTTAGGTGGAATACGTGATTCTTTGATCTGCACACTTACTCCCCTGGAATTGCATATTTTTGTGTCTGGTTGTGGATTAAAAGAAGGCCCACCCCAAAGCCGCCTTGATTCCATCAGGAAAGGGAAGTATTGGAGCAGAGGATGTCAGATCTGCTAGTCCGCGGCTCGTCCTGAAAGACACAGGCCACTCTGAACAACATCTGGGGCGGAGTGGAAGAGCATCTTGGGGCGATCACAGAAAGGAATAGCAGTCGCTCACTTAGCTGGAGGCTTGGGGAAGAGGACACCAAATAGACACTTCAGGTTTGGACACACCAGGGTGAAGGCGTCCTTTAATTGTCTGCTCCTTGTCTCCTGTCTAGCCTTGAAATTTTATGCCAAGGGGGTGTGAGTACAGGGAGCTGTTGTCAGATCCCCAACATTGGGAGGAGTGGTGGGGTGGGAATCCAGTAGGGCCATGGGTGGGGCCTGGTGACATCATCACCCTGAACAGAATAACATAAATATTAATGGGATTTTTTGTACCACGTGGTGCGTGTAGATATGTGTGTCACTATTTGTCTGGCTTTGAAGAGATGGGCTATTCATCAGACTGCAAAAGTTGCATGGAAATTAATGGAGAGCCAGTTTGGTGTCGTGCTTAAGTGTGCGGACTCTGATCTGGGAGAGCCGGGTTTGATTCCCCCACTCCTCTACTTGCACCTGGCTGGATGACCTTGGGCAAGCCGTAGCTCTGATAAGAGCTGTCCTTGAAAAAGAGCCCTTTCTGTCAGAGCTCTCTCAGCCCCACTTACCCCACAGGGTGTCTGTTGTGGGGAGGGGAAGGGAAAAAGAGTTTGTAAGCCGCTCTGTGACTCCTTTGGGTTGTGAAGGGTGGGGTATAAATCCAATCTCTTCTTCTTCTATATGTTACATGTAAAAAGTAGTGGAGACATTGTTGCCAAGTCGCTGCCTCCTGTTCCTAGCTTACATGTGTGGTAGTTACCAGAAGTGGAATGCATACAAATCTTAGAAGGAGCCATGTACTGTATTTGTAGTGTGGTGCGCTGTCAGCTCTCCATTCCTTTTAATCTTTATTAGTCCTTTGGTTTAATGAAGTGTGCCTGTGTTCTTCCATCAGAGATGTTGCAGGGCATAAGGGGTATGGGTCCAAGTGAGACGGGTAAGATCGAAAACTGTATGGGGAAGACTGAGGGGTGTTGCCAGCTCTGAGTTGGGAAATACCTGGAGATTTTGGGCATGGAGCCTGGAGAGGGTGGGGTTTTGGGAAGGGGAGGGATCTCAGCTGGGTACAATGCCATAGAGTTCACCTTCCGAAGCAGCCATTTTCTCCGGGGGAACTGATCTCTGTAGTCTGGAGATAAGTTGTAAAACTGGGGTGGGGGGGTGGCTCCAGGCTCCCTCTGAAGGTTGGCAGCCTTGGTGTCAGTGTGATAATTACAAACATGTGAGTTTCCTGACTTATGTTTGCCTATAAATGGCTTAGAAATTATTTGCTGCATAGTAAGAGGGAAGTACTCTGCACCTCTGCGGAGTGTTTGCAGCTTTGTACCTCAAAGAAGAGATTAGTTTTGGCTCAGGTTTGTTTAGATCAGAGTCCCCAGCGTGGTGCCCATGGGCACCATGGCCCCCACCGACACCTTTTCTGGCGCTCACCAACTGTTTGTAGTAAGCGGGTGGGGACAGGTAGGGATTTTGACTATTGGAGATTTGATTGGCTGTGCAGATTTTTTCAAATGTTGTTTTTTGGCGGCAGCTGCCACTACAGCACAAGGATCTACACTGTGTGACTGAAGGTCAGCTCTTAAGCAACCATTTTGTGGCTGGCTCCGCCTCCTGCAGCAGCCATTTTGTGGCTGTGCCCACCATGCCGTGTCAGAGTTCAAAATGTGCCTGCAGGCTCAAAAAGGCTGGGGACCCCTGGTTTACATCCTCCCTTATTTTTCCGTAATAGGTGGTAGTGCTTAAGATTAGCCAAGATATTATGCCCCCTGAGCCTTTCGCAGTGAAGGCCTGCTTTTTCCTGTACTGCAAGGGCCAGAATTCACACCTGCCTGAGCATTATGAGTCTTTAGTCCTTCAGCCCTAATGCCAAATTTTGGGGGAGGGAGAACGGGAATTTGACGGGGGTGAGGCACTGTTGAGTAAGAGGCACTCTGTGCATGCTCAGAGGCAAGTTGCAGCAAGGTGACTCTCAGGGACTGATTAGAAAGGGGTAACAGGGGCATGAAGCCAGGTGTTCACTTTTCAGTTCCTGTCCCCCCCTCTGTGGCCTAACTGACTCCTCACTCAGGTTTCCCACTGCCGACAGAGGTGGCAACCCCAAAACAGGGTAAGTCTCACTCCAGTTTTCTGCCTCATGTTCTCACTTGCCACTGGATATTAATGAGGAAACAAATAAGAAAGAAGCAAAAGGCCCACAAGGGGAAAAGCGATGAGACAAAGCAGATGAGAGTCAATTGGATAAGGATGGGATTAATTGACTAACTGTAATCACTGTTCCTTTCCACTGAGCAAAAACTGCTTGCGTTTCTTCCCTGATATCGCTGCTACTAGGAAGTCACTTGCCCTTGTTTAAAAAAGAAAGCTGGGATTTTGAATGGGGAGCTATGACATATTTTTGAGGGCCCTTTCCCATTGTCATACACAGGCTGTCCATGGATATGGCCACTTGAAGCTTCACTTTATTTTCCCCAAAGGTTCCTCAAATATACTTTGGGCTTAGTATTATAGTGTGTTCCATCACTGAGCTCTAGGTGCAGGGACAGATCCTGATTATCTCCTGATCTGAAGATTTAAAATAATCATGCAGAATGTCAGCATATGAGGTAAACTAAGCCAGGACAATAGAAGAAAAAGCACCCCCCCACAGTCTGCCCTTTAATCACTGTTTAAATTCTTCCTGTATCCTTTTCCTCCTGATACATTTTCTCCCCAGCCCAGTTTGCTTCTTTTGACTTCTGCTAATTCCCCCTCCCCTTTAGAATTGTTGCACTTGCACCAATTAGGTGTTCAGCTTTTTAGCCTGACCATTCCTAGGCAAGAAGTAACCTAGGCGTTTTCAGTTCCGGCCTCTTGTTCTTAAGCTCACTCCCCTGGTTTTTTAAAATTTACTGTTTGGCAATAAACTAAAGCCCTCCTTGTATCACTGCCCCCTTATGCCACAGGCCTGATTGGATGATGTGGGTCTCAGTGGCAAACTGCTTGGGAGCCAATCTTGTCAAGAAACTGGTTTTCCTACACAGTTTCTTGTTTAAGGCTTCAAGATTGGTTCGGGCTTTCGGCACAGAAAAACAGCCTGGTGAAAAGGCCTTGCAAAAGAAAGATTTTTTCCTTTGAAACAAAGCAGGCTGTCAGAAGCTTCAGAGACACATTAGCCCAGCTGCCGGTCATCCCATTAGGCCTGGTAACTCCAAGGACATGAGATAGGGCATTCCATTGTGTTAGCACCTGAGATCACGGGTGGGAGGCAGGTGTCTGTTCAGTTGAACCCGACACAGCTGCAGAACAGAGGGTTAATTGATAAGCCCCTTTGATTAGCCAGATCATCACTTTCGCAACAGATCTGGTGGTTAGGTTACATCATTTGCCTTTCACCTGAGTGGCTAATTAGAATCAGGCCAACTCCGCCCCGGCCCATAAAGTAAAGGTTTTCATTCTCCTTCTTGGCTACATGGCAGAAGTGATATGCTACCAGCCAGGAGAGCTGAGCGTGTTGGGTTTAAGAACGCCAGCCTCCAGGTGGGACCTGGGAATCCCCTGGAATTCCATCTCCAGATTACAAAGATCAGTTACCTCAAGAGAAAATGGATGCTTTGGAGGGTGGACTCTGTGGCATAGTACCCCACTCAGGACCCTGTCCTCCCCAGGCTCCATTCCCAATTATCCAGGAGTTTCTCGACATGATCAGGCAACCCTACCCCCATCCCCTGCTGGTGGGCAGGGGGGACCTGGCAGCCCTAGGTTTTTAGCCTGCTGCAGGCCTCTGCTTTTAGCCGCTGTGTTCATGACCACTGTGCTGGGCCCCAGGCCACTGCCTCAGGTGCTTGCTGCGACTGACCCTCTGCTCGGATGAGCCTGGACGGTGCCTTGTTTGATGGGTTTTACTGTCCAGAAACTTTGTCTTGAACTTTGAAGCTTGGTACCTTGAAGGCATGAGTTTGCTGTTGGATAATATCTGAAATCTTGAACCATTGTCTGTAAAAGGGCTTAGATAAAACTTTTAGTTTTGTTATTTTACCCTCACTGTTCGCTGCTCTGCTTTGAGTATTTCTGCACAATTTTAAATTAATCACTTTAACGATATTCTTGTGGAGTTCTTGAATTCAGGAGGCTTCAGTCTGATTCCAGTGCTTTAGCCCTCATTGGTAGTCCTACAGCTACCTGAGTAATTATTTGTGAAACTCACCTTGAAGGCATCCAACCTTGCACGGGTGACTTTCTTGACTTTAGTTCTAGGAGGGCCTGAGCCTTTGTCCCTCGGTCTCTGGCTATCTGGATAGTAGGAGGGGACTGGTGACAGCTCCGCCCTGAGGTCTGAGGACTCACACTTCAGCCTTCTTTGGTGGTTTGCCCCGCTTGGCCAGCCCCATATAGACACTCCTGCCTTGGTTTGGCAGCTTGGGCTTGAAGTCTCTCAACGGATCTGCTGACCAATGGGCTATAAAGATTTTAAGAAGTATGTAACTAATAATACTGATTTATTGAGTCGTCATATTTTTGTTTCTCTTAGGGCTGCCTTTTGTTTCTGCTCCAAACAAATTTGAAGCGCTTGCTGCTCACGATGCTTTAGTCGAGCTGAGTGGGGCAATGAACACCGTGGCTTGCAGCCTGATGAAGATAGCCAACGACATCCGTTTCCTGGGTTCTGGACCACGCTGTGGTCTAGGGGAGCTAATCTTGCCTGAAAATGAACCTGGAAGCAGTATTATGCCAGGTAATATAGCATGTGAAGGTTGACCTTGCTTTGGCACAGCAGTGTAACAAAACGAAGGTCCCGGGTAGGTTCAGGACATTCCCCAGTGACTCACATGCGATGTGAGGGGCTGTGGCTCAGTGGTAGAGCCTCTGCTTGGCATGCAGAAGGTCCCAGGTTCAATCTGCAGCATCTCCAGTTAAAACGGATCAGGAAATAGCTGATGTGGTGGTGCGTGTAGATATGTGTGTCACTATTTGTCTGGCTTTGAAGAGATGGGCTATTCATCAGACTGCAAAAGTTGCATGGAAAATAATGGAGAGCCAGTTTGGTGTCGTGCTTAAGTGTGCGGACTCTGATCTGGGAGAGCCGGGTTTGATTCCCCCACTCCTCCACTTGCACCTGGCTGGATGACCTTGGGCAAGCCGTAGCTCTGATAAGAGCTGTCCTTGAAAAAGAGCCCTTTCTGTCACAGCTCTCTCAGCCCCACCTACCCCACAGGGTGTCTGTTGTGGGGAGGGGAAGGGAAAAGGAGTTTGTAAGCCGCTCTGTGACTCCTTTGGGTTGTGAAGGGTGGGGTATAAATCCAATCTCTTCTTCTTCTATATGTTACATGTAAAAAGTAGTGGAGACATTGTTGCCAAGTCGCTGCCTCCTGTTCCTAGCTTACATGTGTGGTAGTTACCAGAAGTGGAATGCATACAAATCTTAGAAGGAGCCATGTACTGTATTTGTAGTGTGGTGTGCTGTCAGCTCTCTATTCCTTGGGCTTGAAGTCTCTCAATGGATCTGCTGACCAATGGGCTATAAAGATTTTAAGAAGTATGTAACTAATAATACTGATTTATTGAGTCGTCATATTTTTGTTTCTCTTAGGGCTGCCTTTTGTTTCTGCTCCAAACAAATTTGAAGCGCTTGCTGCTCACGATGCTTTAGTCGAGCTGAGTGGGGCAATGAACACCGTGGCTTGCAGCCTGATGAAGATAGCCAACGACATCCGTTTCCTGGGTTCTGGACCACGCTGTGGTCTAGGGGAGCTAATCTTGCCTGAAAATGAACCTGGAAGCAGTATTATGCCAGGTAATATAGCATGTGAAGGTTGACCTTGCTTTGGCACAGCAGTGTAACAAAACGAAGGTCCCGGGTAGGTTCAGGACATTCCCCAGTGACTCACATGCGATGTGAGGGGCTGTGGCTCAGTGGTAGAGCCTCTGCTTGGCATGCAGAAGGTCCCAGGTTCAATCTGCAGCATCTCCAGTTAAAACGGATCAGGAAATAGCTGATGTGAAAGGCCTCTGCCTGGGACCCTGAAGAGCTGCTGCCAGTCTGAGTAGATGATACTGACCTTGATGGACCAGGGGTCTGATCCATTGGAAGGCAGCTTCATGTGTGTTCAAAATGGAACAGTCCTGCTTATTTGAAGAGAGCAACTGTATACCATAAAGTTATTGTGAATTACTCATTATAGCACAACTTTGTCTGTCTATTCTTGTGGTCAGACATACACGTTTGTAAAACTACTTTTCTTGTAGGAACATGCAGCAGTAGGCAGAACAGGATCTCTGTTTTTAGCTTCACTGTTGCCATCATAACAGTCTTTAATTTAAAATTTTGGGCTTGTAAGCTGCATCTATTGATAAAAACATATCTCTAGATGTTTCGCCAGCGAAACATCTAGAGAGATAAGCTTTTATCAATGAACACTGATTACACGCCCAAACATTTTAATTAAATATTGTTAGAGATCTCTTTTGTTATGAATGCATTGGGGGTTAGACCCAGCCAACTCTTCTGCTAATGAAAAAAGGAAGGAGGGGTCTTCTTTGCCTGCAAAGAGAGGCTATGCTGAGAATGATGGGACTTGTACAGAAGCCATGTGGGATGGCAGCTGTAATATGGAAGGGAATAATGTGAGATTGCATGAAAAAGCTGGCTGGATCCAAACCCTTACATGGAAGTTTTGGTTCTGTACTTCCGAGTTCTCTGGACAGGAAAGTGTAAGAATAGGGAGTAAATAAAATGGGTTGAGTCCTCTGTAATCTTGGATGGGGAAGGGAGGAGACTCATGCAATACTAACATGTTCAGTATTTATAGACCTTTCAGTTATGCAGCATGAATTAGAGAAGAATTAGTTTTAGTTGCAGACAGTTAACATAATGTAGATAATTGCAGAGTTGCCAAAATTTCAGTAATTGCCACAGGTACCTGACTATAGTTAGCTGGCACAAAAGTAATTTATGTCTTTGAATCTGAGATCTGAAAACGATGATGACTATGGGCATCTTGCTTTCATTATTTGTATCCAATCATTTCTCTCTCGCTCTCTCTTAAAAAACTGTCATTTTTATTCAGAAGAGCTGCCTGGGTTAAAAATAGTTTTTCCTTTTTTTCGCTCACCTTGATCTGTTATTCTTTGTTATTGGTTATTTCTTCTTTAATAAAAAATAAACTAAAAAAATAGAGACTCAGGAAAATAGTCTTTAAAATTAAATTTAAAAATTAATGTGAGGAATCTTTTTTCTCCTGTAGGAAAAGTGAATCCTACTCAGTGTGAGGCCATAACCATGGTGGCAGCTCAGGTGATGGGAAACAATGTCGCTGTTACAGTTGGAGGCAGCAATGGCCACTTTGAGCTGAACGTCTTCAAGCCCTTGATTGTAAGTTGGAAGCCCTGATGATATCGACTAGATGGCACTTGGCTATTTCAGTAGATATTTGGCTTAAAGAATACTGATGATACTAGATGGTTGAATTGTGTGTTAGATTCCTGTGTAAGTACTTACCTTAATACTTGACTTGTCTGCAGCATTTCAATACAACTTCTTATAGACATTATAGTAACCTTGTCACTATCTGGAGCAGAGCAAAGGTAGGTGACTTGTCACTATCTGGAGCAGAGCAAAGGTTTGAACTGGAATTCTTCCATTTCCTCCTGTGGATAAAAGACTCTTCATATTGTGGCCCATTAGCTGTTCACTATTCACTTCTGCTTCGCATAGTAATGTTTTTTAAATATGCAGTATTTGGCAGTAGCACAGATCACCACTTTTATTTTTTATGTCTTCAAACAGAGGCTTAGGGAAGGATAGACAATATCTGGTGAACTCTCACAAGTTGTGCTGAACAGGTTGCCCAGGTGGAAGGCCTTCATTACCCTTTCCCCCCTCACCACAACTGGTAGAATGAATTACGCAGAACCAAGAAATGTGCAGCTTATTGTGCAGAAATGTCATTGTGCAAATAAATATGGGTGTGGTGATAGGGGGAAGAGTGGTGGTGAAAGTTAAGATAATCAAGAACAGGGAGGGTGTGGCTGTGAGCCCGAGGCTTTTCTCCTTGCCATTCCTTCTCTCAATCAGAGATACCCAGGTTGCCATGATGATAATGGAGTACCATTGCTGGATGCAGCATACCAGATCTTATCTTGAGTGAGCAAATTAATTTGGCATGCATGTCTGAAATGTGGCAACATGTGTGTGTGTTAATCTATCCCAGCTATGTGTCAGCTAGCTGCCATTTCTGTGTAGTCTACCCTTCCCTGTTCCCGCTTGCTTGCGGCTCAGCAGCTTGCTGTAAACATGCCAGGGAGACCGTGGGAACTAGACGCCGTTATCAGTCTGGCCTTGTGAGGTAGGGTGGGCTTGCGGTCCACATTTGGTGTGAATCTTTCTGCTCTCGGGCTATCCCGCGACTCTCCCGCTCATTATGTAATCTCCCACCGGGAGTCTTCCCGCGCACGCGCTCAAAGTTCATTTGCTTAGCTAGTTGCCTTGCCCAGCTATATGTATTGGGATGTTCCCGCCTTCTAGTTATTCCTAACAATAATCCTGTGGACATGGTACCAGTCTTGTACACTAATAAAACATAACGCTGCTTAGGAAACGTGTGTGAAGAGTTACTTGCTGTGGAACCTGAAACTATGTCTTTTAGGTTTCTCAATGCAGCAGTGGGCTAGACCTAGTGAGCAGAGAGGTGGGTTTCCTATAGATCATTTCCAAGTGGCTTGTCCACCAATGACGATTTTCAGACCCCGTTGCTGTACCGTCCATCCTGATGCCCTGCAGGGTCTCTGCCTTCATCAGCAGAGGTGGTGTTGAAAACTCCTAGGCTGATTGTCCTGGAGGACCTCCATCTATGCCTCCCAGAACAGCTCAGGATGACAAGCCTGTTGTGATGACCATGATTTGTATCAAATGGTTGCTGTCTTGATTTGGTGTTCGGTACTGGACAAGAAGGAAGTGCTCTATTTGTGAGGGGGCTTGGTATAGTTCCTTTGCCATGTACAGATCTCTAGCTTGGGAAGTTTACTCTCGTGGACCTCAGCCTCTGCGGGGATGGTGTGACAGACAGGTGAGTGGAAAGCCGCCACTCAGCCAAGCCCATGGGGGGGGGGGCCCCTGCTCCAGCATCTACTCACCTGTCAGAGGGGGGAATGGAATGCTGGAGGGGAAGTACAGCAGGAGTCAGTTCAGTTCTGCCTCAGGTTCTGTGAAAAAAGGCAGACCGTTTGAAGGGTCGCTTTTCCCGGTAGCACGGCAGTGTGGGAGAGGACAGAGTTGCCGGTTGTGAGGCCTGTCTCTGGTGACAAGCAGCCCTCGTGCAGTTTCTCGGAAAAGGGCTGGCTGATGTGGGTGGAATCCTGAGTGTGTGAAAGGATCTGGCCTAGTGTCAGCACAAGCCTTGTTTGAACCTGAAAGCGTTTAAAATGCTTTCAGACCACACTCTGAAGCCATAACTAGCTTTAAATTTCTGTGCTTCAGCCAAGTTTCTCCTTTGACTATCTGGAGACCTGTGCTGCTGATCTTTAAAAACAGCCTGTATATAAATAAATCTTTATTTACATACAACTCCTGCCTGGGTGATCTCTGTGTTCTTGCTCACCACAAAACTTAACTCATGGCAGCAAACCCAAAGCCTTTACCCTTGCCTACCCCAAGAATATCCTATAGCGGAGGGGAAGGGTTGCAGTGCTAAGCAAACCTGGTTCCCCAGAATCATCAGAGGCTGCGTGGGTCCCCCCATTTCCAGGAAAGGGCCTGTCGCAGGTGGGGACTAGAGCTGTCTGCTCAGAGACTGATAGACTAATGGATTTGACGACATCTTCCAGGCATTTGTTAGCCACACCCAGACATGCTTTGATTTGTGTTCTTGGATATGCCGTTGAATATGGGACAGTGAATTGGAAGGGACAGACAAAGCGGTGATGGAGGAAAAGACATGCCAGTGTCTTCTGAACATATCCTGGAGACTATTTTAACGCTCATTCTATGGTAGTGATGGTGGTGAAGAGAGCTTGTTTGTCCACTGCCATTGTAGACGTGTAGTCCTGTTCAGCATAGCTTTTTCCAGTGGTGAAAAGCCAGTGTCTTTGAGGTTTGTTTTAAAAAATTACTGTTTGCTGTCTTGGATATCCAGATGAGAGGAAAAAATAGGTTGCAGAATACAGCCTTTTGAGTATGAAATGTGTACTGTTTTGCAGTCTCTGAAATACCCTGTTAATTAGTTATGGTGGGAAATCGAAAGTTTTAAGGTGTCACATTTTAAGCCCATTTTCCACTTTCAGGAGCCCAGTCCACAGGAGAAAGTGTTTAAATTTTGAGGCACTAGCAGCAAAATTCTAAGCATCTGGGCTTTTTTCAGCCATGGTTTTTAAAATAAATTTGCATCATAAATATCGTAAAATCAGGATTCCCAGATTACTGTCCTTCAATCTTGAAAGTGTTAAAATTACACCCATGGAGAAACCAAGTAATCATTTATTGAGGTCCCTGCCTTCCATTGCTACAGTTGCCATAACAGATTTCCTTACATAGTAAGGCTACGAAAAATGTCTGGCATTTTCTCATTTTGCTTCTGCTTTCCTTTGATTGATATTTTGTGCTGAATATTCTGAAGCTGTTCTCAGGTTGTTATTCTTGCTTTAGAAAAATGGTTTAGATACTCTACAAATGGATTTTTTTCTGCTACACTTCCAGTGCTATTGAAACAAAATCACTTCAAACAGACTGGCGTCCTTTTCATACTGCACAGAAATGTACTTTTTTGTTTAATAGGCCGTCCTGTTCAGTGAGCTCCCCTAAGATGACGTCATGTTGAATTTTAATTGCTTCCTATTTTATTTAGATTAAGAACGTGCTGCATTCTGCTAAGCTCCTCGGAGACGCTTGCGTTTCTTTTACTGACAACTGTGTGGTAGGAATCCAAGCCAACAGAGAGTGTATCAACAAGCTACTGAGTGATTCACTGATGTTGGTGACGGCCCTGAATCCCCACATAGGTAAGTCTCCTGCAGCCTGTCTGGAATATCCTGCGCTTAAAAATAAGTACAGATGTTTAAAGAGTATGCTTGAGCAGATGAACAGACACCAAGAATGAAGTCCAGTTACTTGGGGTGGAAGGGGAGGTGGGGTCAGGCCCCTGGGGAGGGGCTGTGGCTCAGTGAAAGAGCAAATGTTTTGCATGCAGAAGGTCCCAGCCAAGAGCCACCATGGCCCCCCCAATATGACCCTGATCCAAACGAAATATAACATATCAGGTGGCTTGCTGTTACTATGAATCTATAGTAATAAAACAATCAGCCTGTCTGTCCATCGTTTATTTATTTTACTTCTATACTACCTTTCTCCCCAATGGGGAACTAAAGCAGCTTACATTTTTCTCCGCTCCATTTTATCCTCACAACAGTGCCATGAGGTAGGTTAGGCTGAGGGTGTGACCGACTGGCCCAAGGGTACCCAGCCAGCTTCCCTGGCAGAGTGGGGATTTGAACCTGGGTCTCACAGATCCTGGCCCTACACTTTAACCACTACACCACCACCCTGGCAGGGATAACTCATCAGAGAGTAAAACCAGAAGACTCAGAATTGACCACCAGCTGCAGGATGATTATGGGAGTTCCAGGGCCAAAATGGGAAGGTATAGGAAAATCCTAGGCCACATGAGACAACCCACCAGCCCCCATGTTATTGGCAATGGAAGTGAAGGGTCTCTGTTTGTGGCAGGAAGAACTCAGAAAATAATGCTGCATGTTTGAAAACTGGCCACCAACCCCAGAACGATGTTGGAAATTGCAGTGCTAAGAGTGAAGGGAAGCAGAACACCCCGAGCCAGCTTACCTTCACAACAGGCAGCAGGTCACAAGAGAGCTTTTCAGCAGCCTGGCATGTGTCTCTAAGACTCAGATCCCCAACCTGCCAGAGAAGGCTGCTGGGTGACACACTCTCAGCCAGACCTATTTCTCAGGGCTGTTGTGAGGATAAAATGGAGGACAGAAGAACAATGCAGCTCTGGGTCTCCGTTGGGGAGAAAGACTGGGTATGGTATTTGTGATAAAACTAAGTTTAATGACATTTAATAGATTACATCGTTTGTCAGATAGCAAAGTAGCCTTTACAAAGGGCTATCAGATCTTCCACGAGCACAGTAATAATGATAACAACCCAGTGCCTGAACTGGGAGTTCTAACTTTTGTTTTGCATGTATAACCACTAGAACAGATTAATGTTCCATTACCAGGCATGGAAAGGGTGGAAGATGAAGGAAATCCATCTTCGATGTGGTCTCTGTGCTTCACACCGATGGGATCTAGTGCACACACGCTGGATCGATCGGCATTGTAGCAAGCTCTTTTAACGGATTTTCGCAACCAGACCTCAGGCATGCGCAGGAACCCCACCACGCATGCCCAGAGGGGAGGGGGCGGACATCCCGCCAGTTCCTTTCTTACCGCCGCGTTGGAAAGACCTTTTTCTTTGTCGGTCTGATTGGTTCGCATGTTTTGGCTTTTTGCCTCACGACTCTTTGGATTTTTTCCTCAGTCGTCCTCCCAACCCTCAGGTCATTCAAACCCCAGTCGTTTCCACCCCTGTCGTTCCACCAAGACCTTTAACTGGTCAACAGGACACTCCTGTCCAAATGCCACACCAGGAGTCCTCTGATTCAATGGAAGAGAATTCCGATACCGAAGCATCTGAGGCTCACACCTCCCCTGACCATAAGTCTCCTAATCAGGCTGTCGCTGATGATTTGCTCATCTCTCCATCTGACAATCCCACGTCATACACAGATCTTGTAAAAAGAATGGCCCATTCCCTAGGCCTCTCTGTCGTTGAGCAACACCCGCAGGTGACGGATGCGGTTTTTGACATCATGCAGCTTGATACATCTTCCACTCCGGCATTACCCATGTCCACTGTCCTTTTGCAAGCTACAAAGGCACCATGGGAGAAACCTTCGTCAGCCCCGGTGTCGACAAGACGACTGGACCATACGTACAGAGTCCAAGAGACAGGGGCCGAATTCCTATTCTCCCATCCTCAACCAAACTCTATGGTTGTAACATCCTCCTCAAAATCTAAACGAACACACTCTGCACCTTCAGACAGAGAAAGTAAAAAATTGGACGCCTTCAGCAGACACTTCTATTGCACCGGAGCGTTGGGTGTCAAAACCACTAACTATCTGGCCTGCATGAGTGTCAGCAAGCTGCCATTCTGTTTTCTGTGACCTCTGTGTACATATCCTTTCCCTGTTGCACCCGGCTTATTTTCTATCATCCTGCTCCTGCGTTGGAATGCACAAGATAACTGCTGGAGGTTGTGTGGGGGAGAAGATGCTGTAATGCTTGCCTATTGCTTTTCTCATGAGACCTGCACCTGTGTTTTGTCTGATGTTCTGCCTGGTTCCCATGGACTGGGCGCGCAACCGTTTCATTAGCCCGCCAGCGGGAATGCTATTCATTGGATCTG